GGGGCGGGGCCGTGGAGGGGGCGGGGCGCGGCGCGGGGGGTCGCCGGCCTCACCCCGGAGCGCCGCCGGTTCCCCCGTCACGTGATCCCGCTCGGCTGACGCGCCGGGATTCCCTTCGTGTCTCGCCCCACGTGACCATCCCCCGCCGAGCCGCCATCATGGGGAGGGCGCCGCCATCTTGAGGCGGGCCGGCCTCTGGGCTGAGGGGAGCGGGCGGCCTTGCTTTGAGAGCCGGTGGTGAAGGAGAACCGGCGGTGGTGGCACTCCCTTCCGCTGCTGTTCTTGGCCCTGGCTGCCTCTCGGGCTTCGGGTCTCCAGCCGGCCCACACAGGCTGCTGGCATTGCCACTGGCATGGTGTTGGTGGTGGCTGTGGGGATGCTGCAGAGAGGTGACAGCTCTGGCCGGGGAAGCCAGAGAGGGTGACAGGCCACCTTTTCTCTGCAGGCCTGAGGTCTCGCTGCCGACGGGCCAAGTGAGACCCCAGGTCTGCCACCCTCCCTCCTCACAGCAAATGTGTCAGGGCTTTTACCCTCTGGGTCTGGTTTAATCACACTAAGCGTTAAGTAGAAATGAGTAATTTTCCCTATTGGAGCCTCTAAGGGGATTGGCAGCAGTGTACCCTGGTATTTCACCTCTTGTTTTTTGCTGTGACAAGAAATGTTTGAGGCAGAATCTTTTTCCAATGTGGCCAGTGACTCCGAACTGAAGCACCTCAACTCACCAGCATTGTCACTTAAGAACTTCTTTGTGAATAAGTAACTTTGGCTTGATCGGCCACAGTGGACTTGATGCTCTCTGGGGAGTGATTCTACCCGGAGGAACTGCTCTGCTCACTGTGGGACAGCACACGCCGTACCATGAGTGGCAAGCAGACTACATCCACTCTGCAAGGAAACACCACCGCAGGCTTTGCTTCATCTGACTCATGATTACTTACTTCTTGAATGGCAACCTTGGACAGATCCAGGTGTGCTGCATGGACCCGTAACAAAGTACCAGCTGGGAGCTGGTAGACAAGTGTCGCACAGAATGTACCTGCTGGAAATCTGGCTGGGCACCAACAAAATCAAATTGGAACTGTTTATTGGCTCATGCAAAGTAAGGTTTCTGGACACCCCATCCCCCCCTTCACTGTTCCTTTCTCAGTCTCAGCTACAGGGAAAGAGTTAACTGCAACCTGGACAGGTAAGTCATTACTTCTTTTAAATGTTACTTTCTAAGGTCACAGCATTGCTGTAGGCAGGCTCCTCAGGTCATTGGACAAGTCAGCAGCAGCCTAAGAGAGAAGACAGGAAGCTTGTTCTGTGCCCTACAGCCAGGCCCCTGCCTTTTCTCTCCAGCAGACTGTGCCACCGGGGGTCCTTATGTCTGCAGCCTCTGTGGCCAGTAGGGCAATGATGTCCAATCTCCAAAACGTTAAAGGCAAGTACTATGCTTTGTTAAAACTAAAGCTAGCATCCCCAACAGTCTAAGCCTTTATTCCAAAACATCTGCTGGCAGATGCTTCCATTTCCCTTCCGTCCTCTTTGCTCTAGAGGATTGCTGTGTCCTGCAGCTGCCTCCACTAACCACTCTCACACACGTGTTTATCCTGTTCGGTGTCCCTCAGTATCGGGGAGAGGATCAAGTATCTCACCAAGGACTATATCTAGGCAGGGTGCTGATGTGAGCCCTGCTGATGAATCACACCAAGAAAAGATAAATGATGGGGAATGTAATTGTGCATGAACATAATGTCCCCATCTGCCCAGGAACTGAATTTTAATGAGGTTTTATAGTGTACTTATTCCATGATGTCAGTGCTTGTCCACACTACAAGCTACCTCTTACTGTCAGCAGGATGCCAGTAAAGGTCCCTGAAACAGAGAGCTGAGAATGATGCCAAGTGAGGCCAGGAAGACTATGTGCAGCAGTGTTTTGGGAATTTGAGGCTAAGAATGGCTTCAGGCAGGTTTTCCTCATCGTGGCTGAGGTTATCCATGTCAGGGGCACCCAGCAGAACATTGGTGGGAGAGGTTTGTGGCTTCAGTACAGGTGAAATTGAGAGACTCCAAAACTGGGAGATTATAAAATGAATCCTAAAAGTGGCTCTCAAGCCTGCTTATTTGAGGTTTATTCCAAACTGCTACACTGAATTCAGCTGTCAAAAGGCATATACAGCACCCAAACCGCCTGTGGCCAAAACAGGGCACTTTCATATGAATGTACAAGTTGACAGACTTGTGACAGTAACTTTTTTTGGCAGTGGAAGAGCCACTGAGGTAAATGCAAGTACTGACTGCTTAGAGATAGTAACATCTGCCAGAAAAGACCCTGCTGGGGCCACCCCATTGACACAGCTTCACCAACCCTTCAGTGACAAAGAGAGCTGTTTTTCTAGGCTGCAGCCCCAAAGTGAACCACTGAATCAGAACGCTGGAAAATGGCCCAGACCTCCCTCTGTGCTGCTGGGGAGAACAGAACAGCCGGTGCTGAGATGAAAGGTATGGAAATTTGCCTCATGGATGTTGAAGGTATGTCACCCAGCCCAACTTTATGTCATATATCTGTCCTGGTTAAGTCTTATCCCTTTATATGTTCTCCTTTTATTTCTCAGTATCAAATTAACTCTGTAGTGCATCACCAATAATTGCACACTCCTTCTCTAATAATTGCACATTCCTTCTCCTTGCTGCCCCAGTAATAGGCTGAGGGAATCACAAGCTGTAGTTTCCCTTGCATTTTCTTTAGCAAACTTTTTTTTTCTTCAGGTTGAGTTATTTTTAACCTGGCTTGATTCCCAAATTAGATCACTGCCTGGCAGCACAAGTTGTACCAACACTTGGGGGAAACGGGGGAGCAGATGCTACAGATGTGGAAGAAGGTCCAGAGGGAGGGCTGAGGCCAGCAGTGCTGCCAGATGAACTGCTTGTGGAGATGCAGCCTGGGCTTCTCATTTTTCATGTACATTCACAAAGAGAAATTGTCCTAATGCATACAAGAGCCAGGGTGGCTGTTTACATCTATGAGCTGAGAACACACTACCAATCTTGGGAATATACATGATTTCCTACGATTTGTCCTCAGCCTACCTTAAGTAGACAAAGCCGGTAGGTGCAGGCAGTTGTTACCCTTCTCTGCCACTCGAGGTCACCCCTTTACCCTCTTGCAAAGGCCGAGGAGGAAAGCACAGATGTAATAGCAAGGACAGAACAGTTCAAAGTGCAAAAAAAGGGTCCTGGACTGAAACAGCTGCCAGTATCCCCTTGGTAAATCCGGAAGAGCCAGGACTTGAGCCTGTGGTGAGTGCAGTCGTCCCCTCAGTAAAGGGAAGATGGCAAACACGAGCCACTGATTCTCCAGGAACTGCCCTGCCCTCCTGCTGCCCAGCTCCTGCTCTCACAGGCCAGAGAGAACTCTCAGGGGCCCGTCATACCTCGTGGGAGTGCTCAGGACCCTGCCATTTGGCCGCATGGAAACCTTCGGGGTTCCACACGGCGAGGCTGGGGAGGGCTTATTTCAGCACTGTGATACGGGAACCAGCAGGACAGAAACCTGGTGATACAAGCTGCAAAGCTGTAATTGTCTCGGGAGCTAAATGAAGCGTGGCTTGCAGAGAAAAGGTACAACAATCATTAGTGAGTAACAGAACAAAAATGGAGAAGCTTTTTGGGACACAATCCTTTGACCCTGACACAGAAAATTCCCACTCCAGGATAAGTGGCACTGGGAAGACTTACTCTGGGTTTAATTTATTTACATAAAAAGATGGTTAATACCTGTAGAGCAGAGTTACGCTAAAAGAACAGAGATGGTAAGTCCTGTGTGTCAGAGATAGGTAAGTCTCACCTGAGGAACGGTGATGGTTTTATACAGTAAGTTTGGATGGAAATGGCAAAAAGCCATAAAATCAAGATCCCCATGGTTAGACTGGGAAGGAAACAAAGTTTACTGAGAGTTGATATCATTAGATCTGCTATTGGCCTGTAGTTGGAAAGAGTGGCTTAGTTTCTGGGATCAGTTTCTCTTAATGAGGTTTTTATTTCCCCAAAGCTTACTTTTCCAGCTTACTCTGCTTCTCGGTAAACCAGGTCTCTCAAGGAAAGACAATCCCTGAGCAATCACAGATAAAACCCTGCTACTTAAAAATGCTCCTGCAAGAGAGTGGTAAAAAAAAATAAAAAATATCTGCAGCCTCTGGAAAAAAATACCCAAAAACCAGCTAGTATGAAAGAGTTAAAAAGAGGAAGGTGAGGAAGCTCTCTGAAGGCATTCTCTGCACAGGCAGGGTCTGGCAGCCTGCACCCCTTCACCTCATCCAGCCTGAACCCACTGCTGATGGACACCCACTCGCTGCTGCGGCTGCAGCAGAGCCTCCCTTCGCTCTGCAGGGCTGACTCACCACAGTGCAATCCGCCACCGTGCACAGCACAGCTCCTGTGCCAGCAGACGTCACCTCTTTCCATCAGGCACTCTGTAAGTCTGTTGTTCCACGTTCTGAGGCGCCCATTCCCCTCTTCCAAACCAAATACAAAGCCAGTCCCTGCTGGAGGGGGCTGCACTCCCATCCTGCACACTGCTGTCATCAAAGGAAAGGGACCAAAAGGTCTATCATTTTCCTAATGCCCTGAATCACTTCAGAAATCGGCTGATGCAATAGCATCAGTGAAGGACTTGAAATGAGTTTTCACCTGAGAGTCATCAATGAGGATCTAGAGCATCACTGTCAGAAAATGCTTGGGTGAGGCAACATGCTCAGACTGTTAATTTTACTCTGAGCCTATTTGCAGGTACGTGGCACAAAGCAATGCTCCTCCTGTGCACGCAAACCCCAGCTTTTGTTCTGTGCTCTGTTCTCCTGACTTGCACAGGTCTAGATATAGGCTTGATGTTCCAAAGCATCAACCAAAATGCACTGATGGGATTTTGCCTGCATTTGGTTATGCAAGTGTCCATCGCCATTCCGAGCCTAAGAACTGCCTTCTGCAAGGTGTCACCAAGCTACAGTGGGATCTTAAAGAGTTCCTATGGATTGGTGCCTTTAAATTACTTATTTTTCTTAGAGACAAGAGCTACCACCAGCATTTAGTTGCTCTCTTAAATACAATTTCCTTATATTCTTGTAAATGGGCAAAAAGCAAGGCTGGCAGAAGGTTCCCCTTAAAGAAGGTAAAACCAGATGTTAAACGTATTTGCAGCCCCAGCCAGGACTTTCTCCTGTCCTGCTACACAAGTAAAATACAATTCTTCTCACCAGGACTGCAATACACACACGTCACGCTTCCCAGAGAGCCCGAATGCATGATCCACCCCCTCTCAGCTGCAGGCTCCGCGGGAAGCCCTGGGCAGGCACTCACTGCAATCAGTGCTCAGAGAATTATGCTGCAGCTTATATCAGTGTCTGTGACCCTGGGTAAAGTCCAATGCACGAGTTTAGAGTCCACTATTTTGCTGAATAACAATCAACACAATTCAGACCAGGAAATTTTCTCTTAATCCTGCCCATTAAACAAATGCAGACAGATCAGCCTCATAGTCAATAGTAAACCAATTAATTTGTTAGTAGTTACTGAAGATCAAGAACTGTTAAAACTACACCTTCACGAGAGTGTGTGAAAATCCATACTAGCAGAACGATTGGCTCATAGCTGCAGTTCAGAGACCAGCTACCCAGAAGGTCCAGCAGGTACCAGCAGGCCTATGCTCCAGTGAAATTCTCCTGCTCCAGCCATGGCTCTTCATGGTGCTTACGCCAGATTGCAGACACCATGGTGTCACAGACAAGGTACACAGATGAAGTACATGACACCACCCACATCACCATTCCCAACCAGGCTGAAAAGAGTTTGACAGATCACTCCAAATTCTTCACCTCAGTTTGATCCCATGGGCATTACTAGGTATCCATGTAACATTAATATTTTGGCTTAGGCAAAGTAAAGCTTGACCTGTTCTCCAAACTATGCAATTAGAATGAAGATGACATTCTTCCCAAAGGCAATTTGGAACAAACTCTACATTTGTAAGGGTCCAACATTTATCTCATGTGAGTTTCAGCGTTGCTTTTGCAAAAATCATAAATCCTCAGGACAAGAGAAGGCTGCTACAGCATTTACTGGCCATACAAGCAGAACTTCTCAGCTCAAATTTACAAGCTCCTGATTTACAAGTTAAAAGTTCTTGAATGAAACCATTTTGTTGATGAGAGCATTGTTCAGGTACTTTAGAAGCAATTGCTGCTATCACTGCAGCCTTCCAACCGGCCCAGTGTCTGCAGATCCACAAGGAGAAGCTGCCCCAAGGCTCAGCAGGAGCTCCTTGTTCCTGGCTGCAGCCTGCATCCCCACTCTGGGACCCATGCAGCCTCTTACAGAAGTGCCATGTGCCCAAGCAAAGACATGCTGCAGGATCCAGGCCAGCACAGCACCACAACAGCATGAAATCAGAGACAGAGGACTCATTACAGCAATGTAGTGAGGAAGTTTTATTCGGAAACATGGTATAAGTTTGTAACCCAACACTGGGTGCATGACTCTGATGCCGGAGCATACGCAGTTACTACTGAAACACAGGAGTGTTTCGGACAATTGCTGTAATAAAACACAAAATTCTCATACTCCAATACCAGGACACTACAGCAATCTTTAGAATCATAGTTACATCCAAGGAATTCTCTGCACTTACAATTGACCCCACAGTGTAATCTACCTATATATAAGATTAATATATATAGCATGGGAAATTGAAAATCCTTGCTCCATAGCATGTATGAACATGTCAAGTCTTTTATAAATAAACATCCAGTGAAGAGAAAAAATTACATTTCTAGTTCATATTTATACATAAAGTACTAACAGCAATGGGTGGAAAATTGCACACAGGCCACCCCAAGCCATGCAGCAGGCTTGGAGCAGCCCATCCAATTTAGTATTGAAGTACACACATGACAGACAAGTCACTAACATACATCGCGCATTTACAAGAGATCAACTACCAAATTGGGACAACTGTACACATTGGAGAGACCATTTTCATTCTGGAGCTTTTTTTTTTTTTAAATGTGGATTTGTTACATCTCTTTACATCATACCGCAACGTTTACTTTGTGGAGAGGATAAGGGCAACAATGAGGCCATAGAGACCCAAGACTTCAGCGAAGATCAAGATCAGGATCATGCCCACAAATAGCCTGGGCTGCTGCGCTGTTCCCCGTACACCTGCGTCCCCCACGATGCCAATGGCAAAGCCTGCAGCCAGACCACTGAGGCCCACACTCAGGCCAGCACCCAGCTGAAGGAAGCTCCTGTAGGACAGAGAAAAAAAATGAGCTTCAGTGGGAAGCAAGAGGACACCCAACCCTTCAGCTTCAGGCTTTTTTTTTTTTTCTCCCATCAAAGGAAATACAAAGTTACATTTAAACATTTAAAGGTAACCTCTCCTTCCTGCAGAAAGAGCTTCTATGCTCTACACAAGCACCATATGTCTCAAAGCACATGCTTCCTGAGACTCCTGGTCCTGATACTTAAAAAAAGCCCCCCAAAAACAAGCAGCTATGCAAGATCTTTAGCTGATATTCAGGTACAGCTCATAGACTTAGCTAAGCTACTGGCCCTGCGAGTTCACATGGCCACCCAGCTTGTCTGTAGCCACTCCAGTCAGCTGCAGACTGCACGCTGCCAGACCTATGTGTGCTCCAGCCCGCTGGGATAGCACTTGCTGTAATGCCTGTCCCGCAGTCCCGTGTAGCCTGTTAGTAGCAGCTTTTGTCTCCCACCTTTAGCAACTTTACTATACAGCCACAGCACTTCCCAGTGACTATTAGGTCTCCTGCACTGCAAGGGTTGGACAGGAACGGTTGGGTTTTCCAGGCAGGGGAACCCGAGGAGCCATCCCTGTCAGTATCTGGCCACCTGGTAACTGCAAAGGAGCATTTGTACCTGCTGCTTCTGAGATCATGGCTTAAGCCAACCACACTGCTCACCCACTACAGCTTGTACAGTGACACATTCACTCTCAGACCTCAGGAGCATTGTTTTCTTCTGAGAGGTCTCAAGCCAGTTCCAACTGTTCTCAAAAGCCAAGATTAGATTAAGTTTCAGACTGTTGCTGACACAGAGGCCTGATGTATAGTGTGAGGATTGATTTACCAGAACATAAAGCAGCAAGCAATATTAATTATTCACTTGTGTCTCCCAGGCAACAGGAGAACTATTTAGACAGTCTGATTAGACAGTCTTGGAAAGACCTGTGTATTCCAGGTCTAGAATTTGGCACCATGGAACAAGCTAAGCCTCCTGTCCCACTACTGTCTGTAGATGGCTTCTCTCAAGCCAAGATGACAGCATTATCTCTGGCAGTGGCACATCTGACCTGTCTGACAGTCCCTCCTGGGGTCTTGAGGAAAACCCACCCATTCAGCAGCTCTAAATAGCAACAGTACAAACTTCAACAAAACTGACAGATTCAGCAACTTACTTGAATAGCGTGATGGAAGGTGAGAGGGCATTGGCAATGAGGACTGCCACTACGAGGCCATAGATAGCTATAATACCCGCCATGACAACAGGGATAATTGACTTCATGATGAGCTCAGGCCTCATGACAGACATGGCTGCAATACCCGTGCCACTCTTTGCTGTTCCATACGCGGCTCCCAAGGCTGGAAGAGAAAAAAAAACGAGTTAAACATCCCCAAATACCATTATGTTCACTAGGCTGCACTATTAGAATAGCTGAGTCAGCACAAGGAAGAATTGTGCAAAACTAAACATGGTCACTTGACTAGGCTTGTCAGCCAGGAATATTTCCCTAAGGGATAAGGAAGTGACCTATCCAGAGTTGTAGACCAAAGCTACATCAATAAAAAGGTGCTGTTCAAACAGAACTGATAGCAGAATACTCTCCCTAAGCTTGCTTCACAGCAGGGTATACTCCCCCAACAGACATTGATCCCCTCTTTAGGAACCAAAGCCCAAGGTCCCAAATCTTAACTTGTTACTTCAGAGTCTGTGCCCTCATAGAGGCTCCACTCAGCTGAACTGCAGAGGAAACAGCAAAGCATATCCTTCTCCTGCAGCAGGATGTAACCCAGCTGAAAACCAGCTCTTACAGTCACTGAACTTTGAGCCACTTGGGCTGAGTCCTCAGATGCACCCAATGTTTAACAAGTCACCTTCACAGGGCCTCTTCTTCCACAGAGCCTGTCTATGCTTTGTCCCGGGGTTAAATACTATTTCAGCTTCACCAGAAACACAGTGAGATAGCAACAAACTCATTATTGCTGCACTTCATTTCTTGGAGAAAGGACACCCTTTTCATCTACCAATAGCCTCACCTGTGAAGGACTCAGGTCCAAGCACTTTCTAATCCAATCACTGGAACCACAAAGTAGAGTACAGCTTGTGGGCCACAGAAGACCCCAAACCACCTTACCTCTAAGGTTCACTGATCACCTGTGCCAACACTTGAGCATCACAAGACCAACACCGGAATCCAAAGCCTGGTTTTCAGAGCAGAACATGAGATTATCATTGCTAACTGAGAACTGCTAGAAGAGTCCCAAAGCACTACTCCAAAAGTAACTTCTGCCTTGAAAACTTTGTATTAGTCTCACAAAAGCTTCCATGACTACCTCATTCTTTGATTCTTAAGTACTTGGAAAGACCCCTTTCCTTCCAATCTTGCTCTGGAGAGGAAGTTAAGGAACTCCTTAACTCCAGACTGCACTCACCATCACCCAAGAGACAATACACAGGTCAGCAGCCATCCAGGACTAAGTCCTTGAGGCAGCACTGCAAGGTATGTGGAAGGGTAGGTACTCTCCTTTTCAGACATCGTCAGGCTGATATTCAAAGCTAACAGTCCTATTTGGCATGAAAATGCTCTTGCCTGCTGAAAAAAGGCTACTGGAGAGTATTAAAACCACAGGGATTTCAAACCTCTGTACTGTTCAGAGACTCACTATTTGAGTTTGTTCCATCAACTTAGAAATTAATGTTTCTACAAGGAGAGCTGCTTCTTCCACAAGGATCTGTAGCTGCCTTGCACCAGCATCCAAGCGCTGCTCGGAGGTATCCAAAGAGTTTAGGATATCAGCTTTCCTGCTTCTCATCCAACATTCACAAAGCCTATCTTTGAGCAGTCAAGAACTGAGCAGTAATCCTCCTGGCTTTGCACTGAAAAACTTCAGAAGATTAATAAAGGTAGCACCACTGCACTATGACAGATTCATTGTCAGAAGGAAGTTTAGTTTTAGTTACAAAAACCTGAAAAGGGAAAGCCTGATTATCAACTCGAATTGGTTCTGCAGTAGCACAGCTCTTGAGCTGTCACTGTGCCAGGTGTGAAGGGCTGCTCAGCACGGTTCGGAACTGGAATCCAGCTCCGGATGAGGCCTGGGCCAAGAAAAGACCACAGGTTTTACCCGCAAGCGTAAGCTGAGCCTGGAAGGTAGTGCACAGACTGAGGCAGCACTATCAGTGCTGGTGCTGTTAAAGGGTCTAGGCCCCAGAAGTCTAGAAAGAAATCACTTACTTGAATAGGAACCTCTTCTGTTGGATGAAGCATCTTTGAAGGACTAGTAAGTAGAATCAAGATTAAGCACGTCTAGACTTCTAGACTGGCTATAGCATTTAGCAGCAGCCACTTCTCATCTGGAATCCTTTCTAAAACTCTCTAGAAACAGACTCATAAGGGAAGTTCACTATTTAAAATTAGATCAGTCATTACTTCCTCCAAGTCTGAAGTTGAAAGGTGTTGCAATTAATGCAGTGATGGATTACAGAAACTGATTTCGTAATCCCATTTACGGAAAGCCAGCCAGCTCAAGCTTTTGGAGAGGGGCTGATCAGCATGTAGTTGTCAGTTCTCAGTTGTTAAATCCCAATTTTAGGTAATATGCAAGAGCTTATGTCTTGAACTTGTTCTAGACACACTAACAAATGAAGTCCACATGCACTCTGTTTTACACAACAGTTTCAAGTAGCACTGAAGATCTATTACACTCCCACTAGGTAGACAGTCACAGGTGCTACAAATACAGCTTCAGAGCTTTGTGCATCCACATCCTGATCAACAGACCACTGGAGTCCCTGCAGCTGCATCTCCCATATCCAACAAGGCAGCTGCTCTTACTGCTCTTCACTAGCCTGAGGCATTCTCCTTGCATCTTTTGCCATACACCAATATTCCAGCCCAGGGGGCAGAGACGATATCCCCTTCCCACCATGACAGAGCCATCTGGTAGCTCAGCTATTCTCTTATGGGCTATTTGGCACTTAGGTCATCTTGATTTGTACCTCTTGGCAGCTGGGAATGTCTGAAGCACATGTGCTTCATATGCTGCATTTAAATACCCCAGAAAGTTGGAAGGACATGTTTTCCAAAATCTTCTCAGTGCCTTGAGTGTGAAGAGATCTACGTGGAAGACAGTGAAAATGGAACAAGAGCTGTATCATTGTTACACACCAAGACTCCATGTATTTGCTTCACATCACCTCTAACATGCAGACCAATTAAGCTCCAACACTACCTTTAAAGCATACAAACACAGAGCTATTAGAACATTTACCTGGCAGCCAGAGAAGCAGCAATTTGCCACCCAGCTTCAGCACAGGAAGAAGCCATTCTGGCCTATCACCAGGAACTGTGCCATTTATAAGTTCAATGGTGTTATAAAACAGAGAAATTGCTTCACACATCATTTAAGACCACCTACTCCCAGTAAGCGTGTTTCACATGTTAACTTGATTTTGAAATACTTCTGAAGAGTAACTCCTTGAACTCCTAGGCCAGAGTTGATTTCCTATTGCTCCTGGGGTTGAAACACCCCCCCGCAGGGTTGTGGATACACTGCCAACACCTTACCAGGGCCATTATTGCCTGTTAGTCACAAGCAGTAGTGAGTTGTACAGCTCCAAGATGGTGCATGAACTAGAAAGTAACTTGCCATCAGGCAATAGCTTCAATAAAGCCTGAAGACTAGTTATAGTCGTGCCACTGCCAGGAGTTGCAGTAGAGCTTTGCCTCAGATATCCACTGCCAGTGCTCCAGCAACCTGAGGTTCAGATCCAGCGCCGGTCCAAGCATTTGGACCAATCTTGTGTAGCTATAGTTACCACGCTCAGCGAGGTCACGCACCCAGAACGTTAATCCTGCAGCTAAGTTAGCAGCAAGTCACCTCACACGACACTCCCTCAATGCAGATAGAGGCTGTTACCAAAGGCCTTGCTGCAGCTCTGCAAAGCTCTGCAGACAGACACACACAGGCAGCGAGAGCGTTATCAGGGGCCTTCCAGCCAGGGAACCATTTGCAGAGATGCAGTTTCAGCAGTTGCAATACAGTCAGACATGCTCAGCCCAACAATACAGAGCTTCAGAACCAGTCACACACCCTCCAGCAGCGTTTGGTTCATTCACAGCCAGTGATTCCTCTTGTGTCCCACCACAGAGAAGCAGGTTTTCACGCTGCAATGTGTGAAAGATTCCAGAACACTAATAGGTAGGATTTCTCTGCATTAGGAAAGGAGCTAGAAACAAGTCAAACTTTCAATTAAGCTGCCATGGGTTACTATCATCAGAAGTTTGAAAGACCATTCTGGACGAGTGCTTACATCTGGAGCCTCTTATGATTAACCCATTATAAGTCAGGTTGCCCTCTGCAGAAGGGAGGCTCCCCTTGAAGCAGTCAGCAGGCATCAATTCACCTCAACACCTGTTTATCCTTGAGCAGGTTGTTCCTAAACAGCTGGAGAACTGTCAGAAGCAATAGCCTTGCTTTGCCATCCCAGAAACCCCAGCACTCTCAAAGAAACAGGCTTCTTCCCACTGGTATTCTCAGGCTCCTCCCACACCGCCACATTTAATATAGACACACTCCACCTCGGGTTACAGTAATGGATACTTCATGGCCACCCTGGAAAAACCCTGTTGCTACACCTCGTTGCATCCCCACAGAAGAGACAACCCCCTTAGTGGAACTGTATCTGGAGCCCATGCAAATTCAGATCTCACTGACCAAGAACTGGCTCCAACCACTCACCAGTGATGACTGGAGGGGTAAATAGATAAGCTGCCCTACAGGAAACTGCAGACTTTGAAAATCTTTAGTGAGTCACCTGTTACATGACGAGGGACAGCATGTTTTTTGTTCTTTCCTAATGTTATGAGAGGGTGTGGGGATTTCAAACAAGCTCAGCACCATCAGTTCACAGTGTTATCAGAACCAACCACCAGGCCCCTTACTCTTGTTCAGTAAACCTGAGAATTTAACAGGACTTACCAGTCAGCTGTCCAAGCAGCTGGGGCTGTTGCAATTAGTACTCTGGATTGTCTGACACACACAACCCATTTTTTTGTTGTTGAGTATGGTAAGGCTGACACACCACACCAAGGAGTAGTACAGGATTGCTCTTCTGCAAGCAGCAAGGTCCAGTCACTTATCATTCACCTTTATCATCATACAGACTCTGCTGCAACCTTAAAGATGACCCATTTCACAGCCTGGGCGGATCACTGTACTCCAAGTACTGACTGGCAGAGCAGTGTTACACCAGTTAGCAGGAGTCCTCTTCATCTAGTCAGTCTAACAGCCACCCAGCTCCAGCTGAGCTGCATCACTTGCATTGTGGGGAAGCCAAGGCCACTTGCCTGCACCCAGGAGACACTCCTGTGGCCAGACCAGCCTGACCTGAAGCCTCATGCTCACAAGACTCCCAATCTGAAGGAAGCAGGTTCAGCAAGTTATGCCTTACTGTCTGGCAAGGACAGCGAGCAGGTGGAAGCATGCACTTTTGTGAAACCATTGTTCCCCACATCATCCAGCAGCCTGACTGGGCTGGAGTTCTTCAGCTCACAACTGCTGCTTGAAATCAGTCAGGTTCTGGACCGATGGAAGAGGCTAGTTTTAGGAAAGGAGAAAAGGAAGTGTACTAAGAGGTCTCAGGGGGGCATTCATTCATCTCCACTGCTGCTCTGGATGTTCCCATCAGACAGGAAATATCTGCAGACCTTGTAGCCCACAGTGACTTCAGGGTGCCACGGGAGTCCCATCAGGTAAACTTTGAAGCCATGGTACATGCAGTAGCACATCTGCTTGAGCCAAGTTTTGTAGAGTCACTGGTAAATCCTGATGCCCAGTCTGATTTTCAGACAATCCTAAGTGGAAATGATGCCCTTGTTGAAGTTTCTTCCCTTAACTGAGCTGTAGAAGTACTGCCTGTCTAGTTCACTTTTCTTACAACACTTAATAGTCCGCTGATTAACCTGCTGGATGCTTTCACTGCTCTCTGCACTGGTAGACAGTTTGGTAGCTCAGACACCTGACCCACTGAGTTTTCCTGCCCATACCATGATGCTTTTGAAGTACTCTGCGAGCTCCTCTTAGGATGAGGGTTACAGTTCCTTACTGAGAAAAGAAGCAAGCAACTCTCCTCTCTACCACCTCCCTGCCTCTCCAGGGACGGTATTTCAGGAAGCACAAGTGTAATTTGCCTTCAAGGCTTCAAGCTGTTTATAGTCACAATGTCATCTAGAATCAGATTGCGCAGGGCTACCAGCTCCATCAAGCTAGATGTCCCAAGTCAGCAGTTTCACCATGAAGGCCCCTTAACAGCTAACCAACCGCTACAATATCCACAGCCCCAGTTTAAAATTAGAAGTATTATTTCATTAGCTCTGCAGCAACAATGAGCAGACACAGAACCTGCTGGCCAGAGTTCTCTCCATTAGCAGTCCCCCAGAAGCTTGGGAGTAAGGCAGTGTCAAAGGCACTGAAGACTTTGCATCCAGACGTTTAAGTAAAGGTCAAAGATCTTTGCAGGTCTAGTACAACTCCTCACCACATTATGGAGGCTGAAGTGGGGTGCACCTGGGACATCACATTTTTCTACACAGAGCATCAGCAAGTATAGAATCAGCCAGCTTTGCCCAATAACATGCTTTTCCATTTTGGCATGAAGTCACATGAAAAAGCCTCAAGGATTTGATCACTCAACAGCACCTGACACTGAGCCAGCCACATGTTTTACACATCGGAAATAAAGGAACTCCAGCAACCAGAACAAGTTCTAATCAGCAAAAGAACAGGCCAGCTCGAAGACAGCAAAGGTCACAGCAGGCAGCATGAGTCTTCCCAGCCACCATCAGTACAAGCTGACCAGAACAAGTTCTGCCATCTATTTACCATCAGCACTTAATGTTCAAACACGAAACAGTACTGCATAAAGTCACTTGTTTTCACATCAAACTAGCCTGGACAGTACAGAACCTGAACATGTTTACTAGAAACAGGTCTCAGAATTACAAGCTCCACAAGAATGTGATCTTTAGATAGCGTGAGTCAGACACGATCACTGCACCGCACCGGATCTAGGACAACTTCACATCGTTTTACATGTTTTTGCAGAAAGATTTAGCTCCTTACTTCTAAATCAGGGTGAGATTTTTAGTAACTAATGTTCAATTAACATCAGAACATGCTGTAATGTCACATCCCTGTTAGGAAAGCTACATGACTGTTAGGAAAGCTACATGACACTGCAAGTTTTAGTTTATCCTATATTGACACCTCTGCCATATTGCCTTAAAAATCCAAGTTGCTTCAATACACAAGCAGTTCAGTAATGTTCACAACTAAGAAATAATTTTGCTTCAGCAGTATCTATAACCTGTTGTTCCAGCGACTGAACCCACCACATATGCTTAGGCCCCAGCAAGAGACAATTTCATGGCTTAGACCTGCTGGCATTTCGACCATCTGAGAGACACTGCACCAAGGACCAACATGTACCAGCAGTGATGTGACAGTCACCAAACCTTCATCAATATAGCCTCAGCCCTCACTCTGAGTGAGCCTTCCCCCTTCACTTGCAATCTGACAGTACCATGCTATCAAACCCACAGCTTCTAGGAAACGCTTCACTTCTAGTTTAGACATGCCAAGCAACACTTTGAATTCTATTAAACTATTAAAATGCTGACTCAAGTTTGCATCCCTCACTGATGTTTCCACTGAAGGAAAACCCTGTCTAAAAGGCTATGGTCTCTTGCTTTTGAGTTTGGTTTTGCAAGAGGAATCCAGTGACTCCTCAGGAGCAAAGCTCAGTATTTAGGACCTTAATCACCACTGTTTTGCAAAAGGCAGTGATCTGCTGACTGCTTTTCCAACAAGACCTAGGTGTTAGTCTGTTCCTCCATTGTCTTCATTGGCCAAGAGGCTGGCAGGTCAGCAGAGCCAAGGCTGTCTCCTACAGCATCTCAGCCATACTGCTTCCAGGAAAGTCCTTACATGTCAAGTGCAAGTACAATGCCTTAACTCTGACATGGCAGGCCACTAATTGCCCTCAGCACAGAACACCTGTGTCCCATCACTGGGTACAACCTGAGCAAGACTAAACTCAGCCACTCAGGTGTGGTTTTGGTTTTTTTTTTTTAAAAAGATTAAAGCCAGGGACATGGCTGGTGTAAAAACAGTCCATGGTGCCAACACCAGCATGGCCAGACAGCTTCCTCTTTAACACTAGATTTAATCCACTGCCTATTTACACAGTTTAATCTACTGCACTAATCAATTAAGCGCAGTTTCCACAAGTTTGCCTTACAGATCTAGCTACCATCTCAGAGGCTACTCTAATATAATGAGATCCAGGCGCATAACAGCTATACACACTATACACAACTAGAGCTACAGCCAATTCTATGCTCAATTGGTTTTACTCCTCAACAGGGAGGCAAATCAGGTGGCAGACAGAGACACATCAGTGTGGTCATCATGCATGTGGAGACCTTGGCTGTCTCCAGAAGAGAAAACCAGACCAATTCCTATTTCCTATATTCCTAGTCACTGGTAACACTTGCATTTGGAAAAAACTCAGCTGGAGCCTTCCCCATGTCACACCCAAAGAGACCAGTGGGTCCACACCTACTGGTTAACAGCAATCAATGGTCAGAACAGCAGTGGGTTTCTGCAGAAGGCTTCCTCAGGCCCTGAGAGAGACACAGCACCGTACGATGGTCCTTCTACTGTAACACAGCCCTCACGGGTCTCTACACGGGTGTCTGTCAGCAGGGAGAGACAGGCCAGAATGACCCAGATGAGCCCACCCTGAGCCCCAGGGCCTCCTGACGCAGCCGGATGGAGCTTCCCTTTCCCGGCGTCTCCCGCACCTCCCGTTCAAAGGGAAGGCCAGGAGCTGCCGGTTCCCTGAGGCCATGGCTGCCCTGCCGGCCGGCCGCGCTCCGCCATTCCCGCACGCTCATGTTTCAACCCCATTAAAAACCGGTCTTGCGTTATCCGAGGAGCCTTTTAAGCACCGACTCCGCCCGTACTCGGCGGGAGAAGCGGCTGCCCGCAGCCTCGGGAGGGCCAAGGCAGAGGTGCCACCGGCACCGCCGAGCCCCGAGGGCGTCGCGGCCCGGCAGCCCCCCGAGGCACGGCCCGGCGGAGCCGAGTCTGCCGCCATCCCCGGGCGGCCGGCATCCAACCCCAGTCCCGGCAGGCCCGGAGGCGGCTGACCAGGGTCCGCCCCCGGGGAAGGGAGGGGGAAACCGGGCGGCGGCACCGCCGCAGTCACGTGGCAGCGGGGGCTCCGCCGCCGGCGGCACGCGCCGCGGTGACGTCACCCGCGCAGACCCCCCTCCGCTGCGCCCCGGTAGCCCGGATGGAGCGGGGGG